TTCACTCATCAACGCCGCCACCGTCGGTGGCAACGGCAAATGACAGAAAGAAAATGTTCGTTTATGTATACTTATAAAAATACATATGTTTGTAAATGTCTGCGCATAGCTGTGCCGTCTTTCAGGGTTTGCCACCCACAAGGCACCCCGATCAGGCCGTTGTTTCTATCTCTGCTCCTCTGCCTCAACATGACGATGATAATCTGATAATCAGCTCGATGCCTTCGAGCGATGCAGCGGGCTTCATTAAGTCCAGTATCCGATTGATCATGCATCATGTGACCATGTAACACATGGGACCTCCTGCCGCGCGATGTTTCAAAGCGGATTCGCACCACTGATCCTTGCGCGTAGTTTGAGGTTCTCTGGCCCGCATTAGCCTGCGACTTTGGTCCCTGCAGGTGCTGACAGTGAATGCTCGCCAGCGTTTGGGATTCAAGACCCGAAAAGACAGTTGTTTCTGACATCGCCGCAAAGCCCCTCAAGCCTTCCCTCGCCAAGCTTTTGCTGGGCTTCTTCGGCAAAAAAAATGGACAAGCCGAAGTCGAGACCAGCTAATTACCTCCCTCACGCAGAGTTCCGGTTGAGAAAGGTGTTGCACACAGGTATGTTAACCTCAACTTTATAAACCCCCCCTCAATTGAGAAACCCCAAGCCCAGAACTCAATTATAGACCCCCCCTCAATTAAGGAACCCCGGCCCGGAGCCCGATTTCTTTTTTCTGTGGGCCCTTTTGGGTAGGTCAGGGCTTGGGGGCGGCTCAGGACAGCCCGACCCGCCCCCCTTCAATAGGGGGTCGGGGCAGAAACAAAAATCAATTGAGACAGGGGGGCGGTTTATTCTTAGGAGGTTAACATTATAGTCCTGCCGATCTGCAGCGGCAGCTTGTCAGAAAAAAGCTCGGGCACCGCCTCTGCCTTTTTAAGACACGCGCACGGGAAAAGTAACAGGCCGCGGCCAAGCAAAGACAGTTTCTTTGCTTTCGTCCGAGCGGTCAACACACACGGGCACACGGTGCACATGCTTGCTGCTAGGTAGTCTTTCAATTTTGCGCCGCCCTCAGGAGTGGGGAAGCCCTCATTTTGTAGATGCTAGTTTCGAGGGCTTTCTCTTTCATCATGTACCTGTGACCAAGTGCTTGGCATGCTCCAAAATTTCGAGTCCACAGGGTTGTGTTATGTTGTGTTGCAGGGTGCACGGTCCAGATGCAGGCAGGGTGCGCGTTGTGGTTAAGCGTCCAAAGGGTTTGTCGTAGGGTGTGCGGTGCGCTTTGTGGTGAAGGGCAGCTCCGTCTAACCAATAAGATGCTTCCAATCGCTTGAAGATGGCGGATCTCGTGAGTTCGCCACTGTGTGTTTCGCAGGTACTATGCAGATATTGCAGATAGAACCGTCCCATTGTCGCGAACTTACTTACTTGATTTTTGGCCCGCTGCAGCCACGCAGACACCATACTCGCGTCAGCCCTAGCCTAGCTTGTGGTGCAATCCGTGCTGGCAGTATTGCACTGGCGCATTGGCATTCTCACACGGGCATGCCGCAGTCTAAACGCCTAGCACCCTGGCATGTGCGGCACATTGATTGCTCCCTGGCCATGCCTCAACCTTTGTCGCCTTTCTTGCATTTTGGGCTTTCCCTGCTGCCCCATGTTGACCTTGCCTTTTCTCGCCATGCATGCACCTTCTGCATGCCCTACCAACCATGAACCGGGCATGCATGCACCTGCATGCCCCGGCATCGTTGCGGAGAACGGGTTGAGATTTCCGACTAGTTCTGATTCGCCTCGGCTTTCAGCCGAGAGGCGTCTAGAACAAGCAGACCAGGATCCGGTCTCCTTCCCCTTCCCAACCTTCCCCCCAGCCCCTCCTAGGAGCATGCTACACCCCGCGTTGGGCCAGCCCGGCTCGAGCAAGCGTTTACAATTATTGCTTGATGGCGTTTTCTTGCAACAACAAGAGTGGGCTGAGCTTGAACCAAGGAAACTATCTGGCCACCAATAGAAAACACTGACGTGTTTAAGCTCCGTGCAGCATCGACTGTGCGGCCACCCTGGCAAGGCATCAGCGCCAGGCAGCTGGCCTAAAAAAGGTCTCCGACAAACTTGCACCAGAGCCGTCGAACGTTCTTAGGCCAGACAGAACACTTGCCCAGAGCACTGACAATATTTCCAGAAATGCGGGTACCCCGTTCAACGATTGTGGTGAGGCGCCAACCGGCCGACACATGTGCATGGATGAACTACGCTACACACGCAATCTGAAAGAATTCTGCATCTGATTGGGCAAAGTGTCACAACCGAGCAGTGCCGGGCACCTGGCCACACAGTCCGCATGGGAGACCAGCAAGAAGTTCCGGCGTGCCTGGAACAACGAAAGCTCTGGGACAAGCGCCGCTCCTAACTAAACCCAAAATGAAGGCTGGACGGACATACGTCGTTTTGCGACTAAGCGCGACGTGCGCGAAGGCAGTCCAGTCCGCCGAAAACCGGGGGCGGCGCGGGGGCGGCGCATTCTGCACCCGCCCGACGCCCCCGGGGGGCGGCTGGCGCCAGGGTGGAAGAGGGTGGGAGCTGAAAATGGGCGGCTTGCGACGAACAGCTGCGTCGTTCGTCGCATGCTTGTCCTAACGCACATGAATAGTGCTACACGACAAGCGCCGCTCCTAACTAAACCCAAAATGAAGGCTGGACGGACACACGTCGTTTTGCGACTAAGCGCGACGTGCGCGAAGGCAGTCCAGTCCGCCGAAAACCGGGGGCGGCGCGGGGGGGGGGCACATTCTGCACCCGCCCGGCGCACCCCCTTTCCCGCTACGCGCCGGCACCGAAAACTCAGAGGACACCGATGCGAGCGCCGATGCCGCCTCGTCGGTGGCGAACTCGAGATCGTCGGCGGCGCGCAGGAGGATGTTGAGGATGTCGTCGACGGGCAGGTCCAGCCACGACCAGCCCTCCGCCGAGGCCTGGCGGAGATCATCCCTGGACACCGCGTCGGAGATGTTGGCTTTCGACGGAACGCGGACGAATTTAGGGAACCAACAGCGGCGCGCCGCTGAAGCCCAGAAGGCAGAGAGGACGCCGTTGACGGCGTCGTCCTTCCCATACCCTTTGAGGAGCGCCCAGGCGCCGGTGTGAGATCCTCTTCTGCGGCGGGTCGGGTACCTCGCCCCGCCCCCTGGCGACTGGCGAGGCCCCGCGCTGTCCCTAGCGCTTGGGGCCGGAGCTCTTCTTGGGCTGGGCTTCCTGCGCCTCTCTGCCCCACTGCTGGCCGCCGGCGTTCGACCAGGAGCTCCAAGCGCCCCACTCGTCACGACGCTGGCCAGAGGAGCCACCTCGACGATCGTCGTTCCAGGAAGACCAGGCGTCGTCAGACTGCCTGCGCTTGCCTCCTTGGGCAGGGGCGCGGGGGGGGAGTAGAGCCTCCGCCCCGGCCCTTGGGCTTCCGGCCTCTCCCCCCCCGCGGCGGCCAGCGCCTTTGGTCGGCTGCTCTGCGTCGTCCAGCGTCTCGGCGGCTGCGCCGTGCTCTGGGTTGGGGCGGCAGGCGGCTGCTTCGGCGGCCGCGCCATGACCTCATAGAAGAGGGCATGGTCCTCCATGATCGCCTTGGTCGCCTCGTGGAAGGACTTGCCGAGGCGGAGGTCCATCGCCAGCGTCCAGCCGATCGCCGACCAAAAATCGACGACCTGGTCAATCATGGTGGGCCTGGACCTCGCCTTCGCTGAAAACCAGTCGATGAAGGCGTTGACCGCCGTCTCGGGCCCGGCAGGAGGGTTTGAGGGGACCACTCCTTCTCCTCCGCCGCGCCGGAGGCTCGTCGCACTGCGTGGGGGTTGATTTCCCCCGACGCTTGGTAAGTGCGCCGGGACAAGATCTCTGTGAGAGACACCGGCGTGTAAGCTTTGGACGCCGTGTGTTCGTGCCAGATCCTGGTCAACACCTCCTCCGCGCCGAGGAGCGTCTGCGTCGGAAACCGCCGACGAGCGCCGTCCAAGAGGCGACTGTTGTAGGCCTCGACCTGCGTCGCCCACGCCAGGAAGGACTTGGGAGGCTTCTCGTCTGGCCTCGCCGGGGGGATCGCCTGTGCGCCGGCCGGCGCAGTCGGCGGAGGCTGCAGCTGCGGCGTCTGGCAGTGCGCCTCCCACTGGCAGCGGGCCTCCGTCCACATGTGGGTGACGATGGCGGCGGCGACCTCCTTGCGCTGGTCGTCCAGCTTGTGGCGGGCGCCGTCGACGTCGATGCCGTCGATGAAAGGCTGCAAGAGGAGGCGGCGCAGGTCCTCCTGTGCGTAGCCGCGATCAGCGCTCGACGCCCCTGGCCCTGAGGTATGCCAGCACCGGCGGGGAAGCGCCGGCCAGGCGAGCCAGGTCGTCGAACGGCCGCTGGCACCGGCCCAGGCGCTGCTACGGCGCTGCCGGCGATCGTCGACCTGACTCACGAGGCGGGCCAGCAGGAGAGCGGGGACGCGGCCGCTTCGTTAGCGGCGCCCCCTTCGCCGCAGTCGGACCTACCCGGGATCGTTTTCCTGGAGGCCCCCGACGTTGCGTCGGCGATCCCGCCGGTTGAAGAGGCGAATACATTTATCATGCATCGCCGAAATCGGCGCTTGCATCGGCCAGATCCGCACGAGTCCAGTAAGGACCCCCTCCTGTTCAAGGCGAGGTGCGGTTATGGGGTCAGATCCCATTTCCGGATATCGGCGGAACCGCCGGACCCCAGACGTTGTAAGAGGTGCTTCAGATCTCCGGCGCACGAGGCGCCCTCCCCGACAGAGGAGGTGGAGTCGCCGTCTGCGAACTCCGAGCCCTCGTCGTCTCAGGAGTCCAGTAGCGGCTCCGACGAATCAGACGACTAGCCCGAGGAAAAGAACGGGCCGCGCCTGTCAGGCTGTCGTCGCTGCACCCCCCCCCCCCCCTCCCCTGGTTTGTGTGTTTTAGGGCACTTGCCTGCTGTCGGCGCAGCTCGCTTTAGGTTCACCTGTGTTTCCCGCGGCTGTTTGTGCCGCCATGGCCTCCTCGAGGATTGGCGCTGGGGATTATGTGCCGTCCTGCTCGACGCACTACCCGCCGCTGCAGTTCGGCGGAGGACCCGACGATGCCGACATCTTCGGCGAGGGCGGCGAATCGGAGTCGCCTAACCAGCGACGCTTCCTGGACCTCGATTCGACGGGCCTCCCCGTCGCCTGGGCATCGCCGCCCGCGCTGCCGGTCCCGCCCAGGCAGCAGCCCCGCCGCCGCAGGCGCGGGCTGCGGTCTGCGGTGGTTGGCATACGGCGTTGTCATCCGGCGGGGCCGATTGGCCTGCCGTGGACGCCGGCAGGCCCGCCACCGCCAACGCCGATCCCATCTGTGGCGCCGCCGGCCCCAGCCCTGCCCAGCGGCGCCCTTCTCCATCTGGGGTATGGCGAGGCGGTTCGGCAGGGTGGTGCCGTACCCGCCCGCGCCCGGCGCTGGTGCCAGCTCCGTGGGAGTACCCACACACGGCGCCGCCGCCGCCGCTGCCTTCGTCGTGGGTGCCGAGGTGGCCGGGTGGGCGGCCGTTCAACCTCCAGCCAGCGTCTGCGGCGATGTTTGATCCGCGGGCGGCGCTGGTTCAGCTGCGCCAGCCCGGGGTCACGCCAGGGGCCTCTCCCACCGACGTGGAACGCCGTCGCCGCCATGTGGCCGCCGGCTTCCCGGCACTGGATCGGCGTCGCTGTCATTGAGCGGACGCCCGGCAGTAGCGTAGTGGGGATCCACAAGTCGTCGCCGTCGTTTGTGCACGACCGGCGTCGCCTTGCATGTGGCAGGGCAGCATCGTCGCACGCCGTCAGGGGTCAGTTGACCTTTGTGCCGGCGCACGAGCTGCTCTGCCGTGTTTGTTTCCCCTGAGTTAATTTCGGCGCCGTCGCCGAGGGAAAAGGTGTGAGCTAGCCGGCGTAGTGGTTCTGCTTCGCCCCCCCACCCCTTCCCTTGCTTGGTCCGCACCTTGTTCGTTGCCGCAGTTGCCCTTTAGCATCGCCGTCCGCCTGTCACTGCTGGGGCCGTCGAACACATGGCGATCCCGGCGGCCGCTTCCACCCCGGTATCGCCGGGCCCTCAGCATTCTTTGATCACGCACGGAGAATTCGAGAGTGCGTCACTGACACACCCATCAAGCGAGAGATGAACCTTCAACCCTGTTGAACGCTTAAGCCCGGCAATCTTATAATCCTACAAAATACTATACAAGCTCTGCAAACCCTGCAAACCCTTAAGCCCTAAACCTCAAACACCAAACCCTTAACCTTATAAACCCAGCCAAGCCTATATAGATTATACAAACCCCACAAACCCTATAAACTCATAGGCCCTTAACCCCGAAAACCCTTAGACCCTTAAACCCTACGCCTACAATCCCCTTAAACCCTCAAGCCCCAAACTTGGGACCCAAACCCTGAACCCTGAACCCTGAACTCTGAACCCTAAACCCTAAACCCTAAACCCTTAACTCTTAACCCTAAACCCTAAACCCTAAACCCCAAACCCCAAACCCTAAACCCTAAACAAGTGCTTCCCGAAGACTATCCGAGGCTCGCAGACTTCGAAGGCGATCCGGCCGAGCGAGTTTGTACTTTTGGTTTAGGGTTTAGGGTTTAGGGTTTAGGGTTTAGGGTTTAGGGTTTAGGGTTTAGGGTTTAGGGTTTAGGGTTTAGGGTTTAGGGTTAGGTTTTAGGAGCCGGGGGGGGGGGGGGTACTTGTAATTTAGGTTCTATAGGGTATAAGGTTTAGAGCACGGAGTTTGGGTTTGGGGATTCGGTTTTCAGGGGTTTTGGGGTTCGGTGTTTTTCCTTCATTTTGTTTGTGGAGGAAGGGCGTTTCGACTGGATTTCAGGGCCTGGAAGCTCAAGAGCCCTCTCCCCCTAAAAACTCCTCTGAACCACCCGAAACCCTCAACAACCTTTCAACACCAACCCTTTTCAAGCCTCTACCCTAAACCCTAAACCCTAAACCCTAAACCCTAAACCCTAAACTCCAAGCTCCGCACCCTAAACCCCGAAGCCCTAAACCCTGAACCCTAAACCCTAAACCCTAAACTCGTCCTGTACTATTGTCTGCTCGCCTTCTGTTCCTAAACCCTAAGCCCCAAACCTAATGGAATGAAAAGCCATTTCATTTTCATTATTATTTCCCCCCCCCTCTAAAATAATAATAATGGACCCCCCCCCCCCCCCAAATAATATAATGGGAATGAAAAGCCATTCTATTAGTATGCCCCCCCCCCTCTAAAAAAGAATAATGACCCCCCCCCCCCCCCTCCCCCCCCCCTCCCCCCCCCCCCCCAAATAATAATAATGGAATGAAAAGCCATTTCATTATTATATATTTTTCCCCCCCCCCCCCCCTCTAAATAATTAATAATGATCCCCCCCCCCCCCCCCGCCACAGGGACATCGGCGCCGACTGGGTATACCGCAGTATGGCCCACGACGACCAGCGCCCCAGGAGGATCACCGGCAAGCCGCCAGAAAGGTGGCCCAGGCGACCCGGGCCAAGTGCCCCTGAAACCTGGGGCGCCGGCCGCCGCCTGGAAGAACTCCTTCTTGGAGAAGCCGTCGCCCCCGGTGCCTCTCTGCGGCGTGGACGGGGCAGAGCGGGTGGACCCGGGCCTCACAGACGCAGCGGAGGGATCGCCATGTGAGGTCCCGCTCGCCCCCCTGGGCCACCTTATGCAGCGGCACGGCGGACCTCCCGCTCAGAGAGCTGGATGTCAGACAGCCTCGCCGCCACTATCTCGATCTCGCGGAGCATGAACCAGGTGGCGACGATAAGGACGTCGACGAAGTGGCCGGGGGCCTCGAAGCAGAAGGCGCCGAGATCGAGGTGCGCCACTGCTGCACCGACCGCGTCGAGTGGGAAGGCGTCCTTGAGGTTGGCGCCAGGCAGGCCTCTGGTGGCCGACCTGACGTATCGCCGGATCGCCTTCTTGACGAGCGGCGAGACCGGCGTGTGGAGGTACGCCTCCTGAAACCACACAGCGGCGTCGGAGTAGTTCTGCGCCGATCTGTATGCGCCGGCTTTGAGGGAGGCCGCCAAGCATCTGACTAGCTCCACGTCGATGGGCCATGGTTCCCTGGCCCAAGCCTCGGAGAGGCGGCGCCACGTCCTCAGCCTGGACTCGACCGGCCGCCTGGATGAGTTCGCCAGAACGCCGGCGCCGAGGGCGTCAAGGGCCCTCTTCCTGTTCGCCGGCGCCGCCGCGTCCAAAGCGGCTGCAAGTGACGCCGACGCCTCACGGCGGCGGACTGGTACGTCCGGCCGACCCGGCACCGCCAAGGGCTCTGGTGCCTGGGCCGGCTGCTGCGGCGGCCGGATCGTCACCAGGATCTCAATGTCCTGCGCCGGAACGCCGGCAGCCAGGAGCGAGCTGGCCGCCGACTGCAGGTCGCCGATGCGGTTGACCCCGCACCCCGCGATCGTCGGCAAATGGCGCTGCAGCCGATCGCCTGTACAGCAGCTGCCAGTTCGCCGAAGAATCCGGCGACGACGTCGGCGGCGAGCGCCATGACGCGAGCCCAAAGTACTAAGAACTGCCCGCGAGGGACTGAGCCAAAGAAACAAAGAGAAAGCTAGCAACAAAGTCAAAGAAAAGGGGGGGGGGGGCTGGGCAGCACGCGAGTGCAGACCGCCGACCTAAGAACGGACCCTCTTTTTCCAAGGATGCGCCGAAGAGGTGCGCGCGCAGTGCAGAGACGCCGCCACACCGAAAAGCTGTAGCGCGGCTGGCGACGGAAGATGACCCCCGGCTTCGCGGGGGCAGCGCCGCTCAGGGGCGTCGTGCCTCGAATTCGCGCCGGTGCTTCTGGTGCCGAGGGTGGTGGCACTCGGCGCAAAAATGCGGCGAATGTCGGTCCTCCAACCCCAAGACAACGGGGCGGAGGCACCGACCGGCGGGCTCATCGCCGAGGCGGCACGCCGGATTGGAGCACCCGTGGGCGCACCAACCGACGATGAAGCGACCCGCCGAGGCGTGCTCGCCGGGTATGCGGCCGCCCCAAACGCCGCCGTAAGGACCCAGTAGAGCGCCTCAGCCGCCCTGGGCGTCGGCTGTGGCCTCCTCCCGGCTAAGGAGGTCGCCGTACGTCGAGACCAGCAGCTGCGCCAGGTCCGACGAAGGCGCCGGAAAGTGCTCCGCCCGAGCGCCGCGCCGCTCCACCCTGGCCTTGTAGGCGACGTACGCCTCGCCCTGGGCGGCGACGGCGGCCTCCAATCTCGCCGCCGCCCGGGCGTTGTCCCGGGTTTCCTGCAGCGCCGCGACGTGGAGCCGGTCCAGATCTGTCCAGCTCCTCGTCCTGAGGCGGCAGCGGCGGCGGCGGCGCCTTGACGGGGAAAGGCGCAGCCCGCCGACTTCGACGGCAGCTGCGGCGGCGCCTTCTTGGGCCGGGGCCATGGCCGGGTCGACCGCTGGATCTGCATGCTCCAGGCGCGCTCGACGTGAAGCCAAAGTCCGCCGCCAAGGCGGCCTCAGCCGCGTTGGGGAAGGCGACTGGCGCCGGGGGCGGTGGCATCGGCGGCGACTTTTAGGGCGACGACGTCGCCTTGGCCGGCGTGTGCCCCACCGCCGTGCTCGTCCCGCGGTCGTCTCCGTGGTGATCACGTCGTTGGAGGCGTCGGGGGTCGGCTCCGGGGCGACGACGACGGGCTCCGCGATGTCCGGCGCGACGTCGGTGGGCTGGATCGACGGGAGGTCGCCGGGGAGCACCACAGGCGGCAGCTCGACGACGGGGTCGGTGACCTGCGCGACCATGGCGACGTTGGGGGCGACGACCTCCTCGGAGTCGTCGTCCATAGCCGCCGGGTTGAAGAGTACGCCGCCCACGTCAGCAGGCGCCGACGACGAGGATGGGCCGTATAGGACACCGGCTGGCCCACCGGCGGAAGATCCGCCGGACCCTCAGGCTCCGGCTCGACGACGGATGGAGCGTCGCCTGACACGGAAGAAACCGGGTCGGGCGCCGTCGTCGGCTCGGCCACAGCCAAAGTGGGCGCCGGCGCCGTCGAAGTGGGCGTAGGCGTCGGTGCCGAAGCCGCCGCAGCCGCCGCCGACGTCGTAGAAGACGATGAGCTGCTCGCCGCCGCCAGCTGCTGGATCACTGCCGCCGCCTCAGCCCCCCCCAAGTCGCGGATGTAAGCAGCGACGAGGTGCGGCGGGGGGGGGGCAGAACCTCGTCTGGTAGACGAGGGCCGCGACGATGCGCTCGCGACACGGCAGCGGCAGCGCCGACACCAAGTCCATCGCCGAGGCAGCGTCGCGGAGGACCTCCTCCAAGATCTCGGCGAGGACGGCGATGTCGACGTTGCGAGAAGACATGGCGACGAAGTCTACACACAAGGGAGCTGAAAATGGGCGGCTTGCGACGAACAGCTGCGTCGTTCGTCGCATGCTTGTCCTAACGCACATGAATAGTGCTACACGACAAGCAGGATGTGAATGATGATCGCTCAAATTTGTTTTAAAAACACATAAACGCACAGGGTGTGGGAACACAACCAACCAGAACACGACTGTATCTGCATGATATTGCATTATTCTTAAAATAATATATAATAAAGCTGACAGGGTGATTATATTGTGAAGTGCTGCTCCGCCTTGGCACCGCGCCCGAGGTAAGCCAGCAACCTCAGGCACGTGCTAAACGTGAAGCGGCATGCCGAGGTTACAAAAAAGAGGGCGCCGATGATTGAAGGCAATCTTGCCCAGCAACCAATCACATTTTTGGGCTGTGGGGTCTTCAGGATTTGTTTCGGGTATTGACCTTTATACCTGCGCGTGGGCGGGAGATGGCTGGAGGCAAGTGCAACCGATGCCATTGCATTACATGGGGTAAGCAGTAAACCTGGGTGAACGGGAGCTCATCTACGGTTGAAACTTTTGAGGGTTATTCAGTTATTCGGGCAGGATTGGGGCTGTTCCCCGATACACTTGTCGATTTGTGCGTGGGTGTTAAAGGATCAGGGTTTTCGGTTTTTGTTGCCAGGACTTTGGGGTGTTTAGGGCGGCTGCAGATTCTAGCAAGCGGATCTTATTTTGCCCTTTGATCCTTTGGCCATCCGTGGAAAGTGCTCCTGCAAACACAATGCAACATTCTGGCCGTGCGTTGCTGGCTGTTCACAGGCTGCATACGCCAGCATGATTCACTGGCTACAAAATGCTGTGAAGTCACAGCATGACCGAAAGTGGGGCAACTTGAGAAAAAAACCGACGAGCAGAAACGCGGCAATTGAAGCTTTGCACGTGTTGGCAAGCAAACAACTTCAGATTTGTCAGTAAGGTGCGAGCTGCGCACATGCAATTTACCTAAACTCGAACATTTCCAGCGCGGACACCCTCAGGTAAAGACACATGTAGATGCATTCCAATTCATATTGGCTGCGCACAAGCTCCGCGTGTTGGGCATCTTCAAAATGGCTCAATGTGCAGCTTGGAAGCGGTTCAAGAGTCACAGAGTCACTGCTGATGTGCTCTGACTCCGTCCCAGTCACGCATTTTGCAAGGCAGCGTTCTGAGGTGGGACGGTTGCAGTCTCCACGTTTCTTCGAGCGCTGGTACATGCGCTGTGTAGAAAGTGCCTATGAATACCTCTTCGGCGACCGTTCGTTCCATGACTATCTGTCATACCACTTATCCAGGGAGCCTATCAATTCTCCGGACGAATCTTGCCATGATTCATCCCACAACCAATCGTGCCGAAATGCCCATCTTGTCCCTAGTGGCGTGGGTCGCCAAATTTGAACCATCCTCGTCCTTTGCCATTGAACGTTCCGTTTACTTGCTTCTTTCCTTTCCTGGGCTTGCCTTTCCTTTTTGTTCCGATATCCGCTGGGACTGGGCCTCCATCATTCCAAGCGCGAGCGACGTGCAGGACATGAAGCAGCGCAGAGCACATGAGGCGCAGCAACACTCGTGAACACATGGAAAGGACTCAGTGCTTCTGCCAACTTTTGAGTAGCGGGGACGAACCATCACAAAACATCCTCCACATCTTCCTCTACGACGTCAAGCTCTTCCGGCACAACGTCGACCACACACACATACCCCCAGCACAGCTTCCTCGAGTTCAACAACTTCATCGACATCTTCCACTTCAACATCATCTACGTCCACATCCACAAGTACCAACAGGGCAGCATCGGCAGCACATCATCAACTTCCAACACCACAAGCAGCAGCACAACCACTGACCACATCAATCACATCCCCCAGCTGCACCACAAACTCTACAACGGCGGCTTCATGTCAAGCTCCTACAACGTTGTCGGGGTATCCTCACCTTCAACCTTTACACCCACATCTTTGCAAGTGTCACCACCAACAACACATCGTCCATCTCTTATTATGAATTATGACTCATGACAAGCGCCAGTACAACCAAGTCCTCCAGCAGCACAACAAGCGCTGCAATGTTGACTTTCTGCTTACTTCATCTTACACCTCATCCACTCCAAGATCCTCCGTTCGACATCTTCGATCATCTGCATCCACATCCACAAGTAGTCCTACTCGTCGGAAGAGAAAGCTCATACCAGTCATACCAGGTTTGCCCTACACCCTGAGGCTGGGAGAATCCTGTGGTGAGAGTCGGGCAGCTCAAAATGTCCCTTCAGCCTCCGAACTCGAATCCATGCTGTCAGGTCTCGCAAACACGTGCACACTGTGAGCTGACTAGTTGATTAGAAAAAGCCGTGCAAAGGGCATATTTTCTGGGGCAAGGGTCTTCTCCGACGGCTGCTCGAAGGGTTTCCCACAATAAACCCTCGACAAAAAAAAAAACACCCCCGCTGTAGCCGCGACAAACGCCGCACTCTTTCTTCGGGAGGTTTCAGTTGGTTCAGGCTACGCGTTTTGCCAACTGGTGGCACCTTGCCGGGGGTTTATAGTGTTTATTTGGGTCTGGGCTAGGATGAGCTAGGTTTGCTATGGTTTTCTTGGGCTAGGGCTCAATTTTTGTTGAGACGGGACTTTTGGAGCTAGTGTTGTTAGAATTCCAGGGTCAGGGTTCTAGATGGGTGGATGTTGAATGTTGGAGTCTATGATGGTGTATGGTTTTGATGGCTCGGTCTGGGTTAAGGTTGTTTCTGCATGTTTCTGCCACGCGCCATGCCACTGCACTGCGGCCTAATTCGGAAAAGCGCAATGACAGCTCAGGGATTTAGTGATTGGGGGTTTGCGTAGTTTTTTTTTGCAAAGAGTTAGAGTTTTCTTTTGTTGGGCTTTGGCTTAAGGGCTTATCAGGCCAAGTGCAGTGAATATCTGCTGGATGGCCTGATCTTCGCTTTTGGCGTCAAGATTTTCATGTGGGTGAGCACCGTCTCATGTTCTGCCCATTGATCCCCCGGTGACCCGCAAGAAAAATGAAGACATGGAAGTACTTGACAAGTCTGAGAAGTAATTACTTGGCATGCCATGGTTTTTTGGAGCCCGACCGCCCTGCAAAGCGCCTCCGCGCGGCCGACAGACCTTAAATCCGGTCCGGCTTGCCATGGCCGTGCGCAAGCAACACTGCAGCTCTGCTACAATACTGCTACAATAATGTTTGCCCATGTTTGTGTAGTGACAAGTAATGGCAAGTAACTAAGTCGCTAAGTTCGGCAGGCTCCAGCATGATCCAACGTGCAGCATGCCCCAGCCTTCGGGCCACTGCGGCCAACGGCCCAATGTGGAGATGGTGGTCACTGGTGCCTTGAAGGGAACTTGCTCGCAAACATCGGTGCAGAACCAACGCCCATGCAATCCCATGCACCTGCACCTTTGCCAAGTGCGCCTCAACCTCCTCAAGTGTCCTGAAGCTAAGCGGGTGGCCAAACAAAGGCTTACACGTGCTGTCAAACAACGGACAACCGGCTCCTGATGACCTTCGGCGGCTCTTGGTCACCGAAGACTTCCGGACCGTAGACCTGAACACCAGGAAGCACATGGAAGTGCAGACCAGGCAACAAGAGCGGAAAACTGATTTGGACATGTTTTGACATGTTTTAAGACTTTGTGTCAAGTCTCTTTTGTCTCTCCACCCACCTCCCCCAGGCCATGGTCAACCATCAGCCGCAACGGTGCGCCCGCACCACCCAACCTCACAGACACACCGCAACAAAAGTCACAGCGCTTTTCGAAACAACGACTCTACAATCTCCAAGATTCTCATGGATTATCCAGGTGTGAGTTGCTTTTGAAACTGGGGGTGAGAGAATCAACCGCGTAGGGACATCCGTCCTCTGTCAAGTGCCCTGGGCGTCTCGGAATCTCCAGGGCTGTTGCCGGCTGCACAACACCGCAGCAGTTTCCACCTCTGCTGCAAAGGAAACACACATAAACACTCAGACCTAGGTGGACAAACACTGAGTGATACTGAGTGAAAGGCACAGCGAAGGTAAGGGGAGCTCACCACCACCTGAACTTCGCTGCCAGGCCTGGCAAGAGATGACATGGGATGAGATTTCCTGAGTTGTTGCATCTGCATCTCTCAATTACCGGGACAAAGCTCTGGGTATTGAAATTCTGCGCATTCATGCATTTGATTCAGTATCTCATGCTTGTTTGTGCTCTCTTGCTCCATCCTTGTTTCCTTGCCTTCCTTTCTTTGAATCAATCATCTCTCCATATCTCTTCCCTCTCTCGGGTGCCGGACTTTGATGCGAAGAAGGCCGCGACGCGTTCCGCCACCTCGACAGCCTCCATTCTGTTTGTAGCGGAAGCCTATGGCCTGTGGACATCTATGGAAGCCTACAGCTTGGCCGATTTTGACGTGTCTCACGTTCAGTTTTCATGGACTGGAAAGCGAGGGGGAAACGTGGGAAAACGTAGGTCTTGCAATAGTTTGCAATTGAATTTCCTGTAGCCATCCAATGGCCTCCAAGCGGCCCTCATCCGAGAGAGGTGGGTCCTCCCAGCATTGCTCATAGAAACCCGAATCACTGGCCAGTTCTTGCGATGTATTGCTGGGAATTTTTGCTGCTGACTGGCATTGAGCATGAGCAGAACTTGAGCTCAAGATGGCCCCGTGTGCAGTCCAGGGGGTGCCGTTCAAAGTCGGCACCTCAGCCGGGGAGCATGAGACTGGCATCTGAGGGCACATATAGGGCCCATAAGGGCCACACATAATAAGCCTGAAAAGCTCTGTTCTCTCTACCCTCTCGACCATGGGAGCGCCACTCTCGACCCAGGGGACACCAAACCATGAGGTGCCAATCCTGGCCGTCATGAAGCAAAGCAAAAGCAAGGAGCATGGCTGAGCATGGGCCACAGCTCGGTATCATGACCGTGTTTGGGATGGCGGGGGCTGCGGTTGCGCGCAATCTCTTGCAAGTCGTACTGTT